TGCCTCCAGTGTTCCTCAAGCCACCAAGTCCAAGACTCAACTGTGCAGCTATCTATATATGGGCCCCGGCCACCTTAACCACTAGGCCACAGGCTGGCCTTATACGTTGTCTTTAAAAAAATCTATTTGGTAACTCTTTGAGTCATGTATAGTAGGTATGTTTAAATTACCAGAAAGTTAATTCATATATTTGAAATCTTCTAGCTCTGGAGAAAGAGCTGTAACAATAACCTTTCTAGAAAGTTATTATTGACCCTTAGTTTCTGAACTCAAAGTTAGGATATTTGGTTTTAGACTGGTACACTATAATTGGAACTGAAAGTATACCAGACATTCTGGAACATATTGTTACTGCAATTACCCCCCAGATGCCTTCATTATTACACTTTTTATGAGTGTTCTATGGTTCCTTCAATAAATCTTAAAGATACACAAAGAAGAAAGAGGGTAGGATAACTTTAATTCAAGTTTTGTAAAAAATATTTATTGCTTGTGATACCATAATCATATTATATTACAGGCACTATTTTTTTTTTTTAAATTCATGTTCTTTCCTCAAGGGGGGACACATTCATGCATTACTTCTAACAGGAAACAGCATAACTAGGAATTATATATACCAGTATAATAAAACACTACATTGAACCACAGAGACTTATGATAAAGCACGTAGAGGTTATTAAATCAAGCACAATTTGTTGTGTGGGATGTTTTAAGTTGGTTTCACAAAGAGAATGTCCCCAAAGGGGAAAGGCTCATAAATTAAAACAGAATTTAGAAGCAGATGCCAGTCTAAGACCTCTAAATTCTCTCCTTAGATCATGTTCTACCATGAGAAGTCTATATATTTGAATGACATTTGTTTATTTCCTTGTAGAACTGCCTCTATGGGGCTGAGATTTATGGAGTTTCATCTTTACTTCTGACTGAAGTTCAGTATAAGAAAGAGCCACATGAAACCTATGGCTGTATTTTTCCCTTTTATTATTCTGTACTCCTACAAAGCTCCAAATGAAGATCTTTTTTTCTTATTTTATGCCAACAGAAATTTGGTCCCCTGAGAAGTGGTATTTCTGTACTGATAAAACCACTGATTAGAATATTTCCTTTTTTTTTTTTTTTGCTTCATTGCCAGAAAGCTCAGACAAACACTCTTGTCCCTTATGGCCAGCATATTCACATTTTCTTTTCTTGGCTTTCTATTTCTGTTTCCATTTCATAAAGACACCATTGCATCTCTTATTTTAAGTTGCCTCGGGGGGGGGGGGGGGG